ATTTTATTTTATTTTATTTTATTTTATTTTATTTTATTTTATTTTATTTTATTTTATTTTATTTTTTAAGTAGGGGTCCTTTAACTCTAATAATTACTTTTTTCACGTATTAGAATGAGGCAGTGTCAATTCTGGAGCATTACTTTGTTACCTGTGAAAGTAAAGAGCTCTTTGTAGTATCACCTGTTGCAAGTAGTGATGACCAAACTTTTCAAGCGACTATTTACATTCAAATACCCATGCAGAGTACTTTTTCTATGCCAAACCACTGATGAGAACCTTGTCTTGCAAATTCATACAAAATCTTTTCTCATCAGAAAGCATAAGAAAGTTTGCTAGGATTCTTCAAAAGGAACAATTAACTTTGTGTTCTGGTAGTTCAAAGTAAAATTTCAGTTGCAGTTTATTGAAAGGCATTTTTTGTGTGAGCAATGTCAACCTTACATGTCTGCCTGTGTGTTTGCACTCTTATCAAATGCATTATTTTAGGTATTGCGCTATCTTAGGTGCGTCTCTGTTTCTCTCTGCCTACCATGGCCTTTCCTGTGTTTCTTAATTTATTCAATTCAGTCTGATTGCTGACCACATCAGGACAAATACAAACAATATTGACTGAAATGGAACTGTGGAAGAAAAGACTTGGTAGCTTTAACTGCAAGAATTTAAGCTTGATATATTCATTTAAATCATCATGGAGAATTTCAAGCACAACTTTCTGAAATGCTTTGGTGAGCTTTTAATATACTTACCTCTCCCAGAGCTTCCAGTTAAGATGCTGCCTCTCTTCAGTTTTGAAACCTTTCCTAGACATCCATTGTTTTTAAGAGCAACAGACCAACAAGGCTTTTGGCATCATTGATGACATAACTAATAATGCAGTGTGGATTTTGTTATACTTTATTTGTCAGTGGCATTTTGGAAGAGAATGAGTCAGTGCATTTTTGTCTATATGTTCCTTAGTAGAGTACTTTGCCACTACAGGAAGAGGCAGGGCTACCTCTGCCTTTCTTAACAACTTAAACAAACAAACTTGTCTGCCTGATTTACTTGTTGGGAAGCTCTCAGAAGAAACAGCTTGATGGGATTTTCCCCATGACAAAACAGCATATAAGTCTTCACTGCAAGGTGTGCTTTCCTTCACTAGGTAAATTATGTTACAAATGTTTTTTTTTAAAGCCAGTATCTTGTATTAGAATTGTAAAAAAATTAACCAGTGTTGCAAGCTGGTCAGAATGATGCTTCCTTTGAACAAATTAGTGCGTTTAAATGTAAAGAAAAAATCCCCCCCAGTAAATTTTCCCAATTTTATGCCATCAAGAAGTAAGAAACTAATACAAAGCTCATTAGTTTCATGCATTACTTCCTCAGAAATCAATGCTACAAGGCTGAGGAGAAGCAAGGAGTTCTTTGGTACTGTTCCATGCCTGGAAGTAATAGTAGTCATTTTGCTCTCCAGCCTAGCAAGTAGTCAGTACCTCCTTTTCACAGTATCCTAAGGTGAAAGGGTAATAAGAATGAACGTGCAGCTAACACATAGACCCCGATATGTCAAAGTGGGTTTTACCTTTAACTTAATCTTTTAAAGATGTAACATACCATAGAAAAAAAAAGCACAATTTGAGAAGGGTAAGGGCTATTTTTAGGTAACTGCAGTATTATAATTATATTACTAACTCCTCCCCAGAAAAAGTGCAGTGGGATAAAGAACCTCTATTACCTTCAACTTCTAACACTGTTGTTTTCTTGGGAATGAATTTAAATAACTCAGCACCCCAAGGCACTTGTTTGAAGAAACAATTAACCCTGAAAACTATTTCTATCTAGATGACTAACATTTCTCAAAGCAATATTAATATTCATAATAGAGCCTCATATGGACAGATTATCCCTCTCCTGCCTGTGCTGAATAGGCCCTTCACAAGTCAATGAAGGCAGCTGCTGCATAAACAAATGTTTATGAGCATGAATAAAGATGAATATTCAGATAACGTGGTCAGAAACTTGTGGTTAATCCAGACTATAATTTTCAGAGAAACCTGTGTGTTCCAAAATCTACTGTATCGAAAGCATTGCATGTTTTACACAGTGATCCCTAGTAGTTATTAGTGGTTCCATGGGGCATCTGGTTTCATGTTGAGTATTTGACTGCAATTCACATATATAAAGATTGTGGTACAGAGATTTTTTAATAAATTAAATGCTTTTATTATGTTCCTATCAGTAAGCTAAGGTTAGATTCTAGACCACAGTTTAGTATGCCTAAAAGAGTATGTACAGCACTCTTGATTCTATCTGAAAAGTACATAGATATCTTTGGATTTTATGGATGCAAATGAAAAATGTTGAAGTCTGAGATGAAACTAACATGGCACAAGGATTTAGTTTTACTCTGAAATTTGGGAATGTGCCCAAGTAAATCATTTTCCCAAAGCAAAGGTTAGCCTGGAGTAGCTACAGCATGTCAAAACTATTAACATTTTAAACAATAGAAGTCTTTGTTTGTCCTTCTTTCCATTAAAATGCCTCTGCATGTAATTTGCATTTTAATAGCTGCTTCTCTAAAAATGGAGAGGAAGAGGGGCTTTACTTTCCAGGCTTCTCTTCCAAAGGAATTTCAGCATACATGTATTTCATAGAATTTAATAAGTTGTCCATAAAGATCTAAGGTCTCCAGCAGTTAAACAGTAATTTCTATTTGCCTACTGCTATGTAAAAGAAGATTGAATATGCATAATTAGCACATATTAGAAGTGTCACTAGAGTAGGAGGTTCAGAGGAAAAACCATGTATTGGGCTACATTTCCATGGAGACTATTGATTTTACATTTTAAAAGTCTCTTAAGGAAACTTCTGCATTAATTTTGCCTTTCACATGATTAGAAGATTACGCAAGCAGTGTAAAGTATGTGGAGATTATCTGTGGAGCAATAAGTCAGTACAACAAGGCCAACAAATGTTATAGCTTTAAGAAAGAGTTGTGGAAAAATCTGTGAATAACAAGAACTGGAATTGCCTTTCCTTGTATCTAAGAAAATGTGAAATAAGCTTTTGCTAGTAAGAATTTTATTTTCTTCATGGCAGCTGATAATTCAGATTTTCCAAGTATGCCAGATGTTTCACACTGCAGAAACATACTCTTGTCTCCTATCCTTGAGAATCTATCACCACTGAAAAAAAAAAAACAGGACAGAAAACAACACACCCATGTAGTAAAAAAGTGGGAAGAACATTTTGCACCATCAAATTTCCCATCCAGTCCCTGCATTGCCTTTGAGTGCGCTGACAGTGATGCAAAATGGAAATAAGCCTAAGTGCCTTGAAAGTAGCTCATATACAGATATTACTGGTCCCTATAGACTTCCCCATATCTGTTCTAAGTTTGAGCAGTAGCCGCAGTAAATGTCCCCTGAGTCCTCTGGGCATTTGATTCACCAGAGAATGCTGTGTAACTCAGAGGAGAAAGCCAACAACAGTTTCTATATTTCTGGTGCTTAGAAGATGGGGCTAAAAAGCTCCTTGGCAGTTTTATGGAATGACTGTAGCAAAAAAAAAGGACAATTTTTAAGGCAAATTTGTTTTCATGATGCTTTTACTCTCTTATGGGCATTGCAACTATTTTATTCAAAACAGTGCCTGGAGCAGTAATACATTGTTACTGGTCTCTGGAATAATACTTTCCCTATCCTTTTCTTTCTGCCAGTAGCTTGTATGAATTATTAAACTGTAGGAATCTGTGGAGCATGTGGTTGTGCTTTTGTCAACAAACTGTTATGAAGAATATATGGGAACGTACACTATTGTTAGTACTGAACACAATGCACATCCAAGCTGCATAGCAAGACACTTCAGATGAAGGAGTCATAAAGGTGGCAACACACATCATCTTCTAAATTTGTTAGAAAAAAATGTGTACAAAATGTAATTATACAAGTTGATAAGTTCCATGGAACAGGTATAAAAGTTAATACAGCCAGCAAAGTGAAACAGTGCGTAGCCAATAGTGATAAATACGGTACAGTGGAGAACAATACCTGACAAAGCTGGAATGCAACTTCAGACACAAGGGATAATGCACATGATGACCGTGGAAGGCCATTTATTACAAACTACTGCTCAACACAGGCTAACTACAAAGATACATGGAATGCTCAATTTGAATACACTAATATTAGCTATGGAAAACTTCCTTCCCACTAGGCAATATCTATAAATGAGAACTCTGATTTTATATGATAGTATCAAATAATCATGTAAAGACAAGTATTCAAGTATAAAAAGATATTAAATGTGATCCGATTTTTTCTTACCATCACAAGATTTTGCTGATGGAAATGGGTTTTGGCAGTATCCTGAGATTCTCTTCGGCCTCAGTCCCATTTTCAGTGAAATGACATTGTGCTTACTCCTCTAAAAATCAAATATTTCACATTTGGACTTCATAATCATATAGCTTAAGGATCACAGAATCACAGAATCATAGAACACTTTTACTTGGAAGAAACCTTTAAAGCTCATTTAATTTCAACCCCTCTGCCA